CTCTTCTGCCGGCTGTTCTACCAAATGCTCCTTTACCTTCTTGCTTATGCCTAGGATGTCGTGCACCATGTTACGAAGATCCTGGTCTTGCAAGTTGTCTGTCCAATTAACGAAGCTGTCTTCATGATCCCACCCGTCATCCTGATGTACGTCAGGAAGAACTGCTTCATCTTCAAGCCGAGATTGCGATAGGCGGTTGACTTCTTCTTCGCTAACCCTGACTTGTTGCCTCATTGTGTGCCTGCATCTTGAGAACATGACCTCTCTGTGTTCCCAGTCAACTTGGGGATTGTGTTCTTTCAAAAATCGCATGCCAAGGATCATTGACATGCGACCGAGGTTTGTGACGAGTAAACTCTCGGTTGACCGGTGCTCCCCAATTAAGATGCTTGTGACTACACGATGGGTAATTGCACCGCCCTTGTTGGGGCTGGCGTCTGCGTTGAGGATTCTTATTTCACGGTTCAGTGGTATTAACTTAAACCCGTGTTTTTGAGCAAATCTTTTATCGATGTAGCAAGAAAATGCTCCTGAATCCAGTAGTGCCGTTGTCTGGATTTCCCGTGATACGAATTTTATCGGCAATTCGATCGAATGTTTAGAAAAACCCGCGGATGCAATATATACGTGGTCGCTGGGTACATTCGTTCTCACAGTACTAATACAATCTAGATTGTCCTGAAGCATAGTACCAGACTTGTCTATGCTTTGTACTGAAAATCCTCTGAGAATTCATTCAACTCGAGGATTCGCGCGGTGGTGTCCTTGACCGTTGATGCCGATGCCGTTGATGCCTTGCTTTCTGCCTTCGCCTTGCCCTTGCCTGTCGAAGAAGTTGGGGTGGAGGTCTTCATCCCACGTAATGCAGCAATTGCTTGCTCCAGTGCTGCAATTTGAGACGATGTTTCCGTGCTACCTTCTTCTTCGACTTGTCGGACCTTTTGCGCCTTTCCCTTCCCTTTGCCCTGAGGTGCAGTTGGTCTTGTCTGAAACCGCTTGCCTTTATACTCAGGCTTGGGAGAGGGACACCGCTTTCCTCGTTCGTAGGCGTGCTTTCCGCAAAACAAACACAGTTTGTTTGCTAGCCACCTATCCTGTTCTGAGGAGAGTTCGTGTGCTATCCTGGCGCTTGTGTCCATGGCATTGGGGTCCTTGGGAGGGGTCACCTTTGCTGCGGTCTGTCCAGAAGACTTGCTTCCCATGAGCTGCTGTTGATATTTGATTTCTATCTCCAAGCAGAATTCGAGGTATTCCATCCAGGTGGTTGGAATCCGATTAGGGGATAGTGTCTCCGTTACCGACATGACCGTTTGAATGTGGGCCGACCGTTGTTCCCTGATCTTGACGATCAAGTCTTCGTCAGAATATCCTGATTCAGGGGCATAAGCCCTGAAGTTCTCTGCAAAGGCGATCATGGTCTTGTGGCGAATTGCGCAGTGCGCATCTAGCAGTGCCTGTGCTGTGCGCTTGGGATCAAGCATCTTGTAAGCCATCTCCAGTTTCCTGGTATATCCAGTCCATGTGCCAACGTCTTGTCCTGAGGCGAGCTTGATTGCGTACTCTTTCATGTATAGAGCAGCTCCTCCTTCTAGATGAGCGTTGGCCTGTCGAATTTTGTCCTTGTCGTCCGTGAAGTGGTTGTAGTCGAGCCAGATCTGAAGGTTCATGAACCAGGTCTCGAAGTTTTCCGTTGACTTCCTTTCGGAATACTTAGGCGGATCGGGGAGCTTGATTCGACGGGGTCCTTGGCTTGATTGGCCGGCCGGTTGTTGGATACCTGTGGAGGGCGCATTGATTATGGCATTGTTGAGCCGGGATTCCAGCCCAACGATGTAAGTTGTGGTCTTTTCCTGAGCCTCCTTCAGGGCGACCATGTTGCCGTAAAGGGCGTCCGTCTGGCCCTTTACTTCGTCCTTGTAGTCTTCGAAGTCCTTGCGGATTGCTCGGGCTTCGGCCGTCAGAATGTTGTTGGCCTTTACGAGCCTTTCTACATCGGCGGAGAGGGTGCCGATCTGAGCTCTTGCGACCTTTAGTTGATCTCGAGTTTCCGCTGCCAATATTTCAACGTGGATTCGAGCCGTGATCTCTTCTTCCAATGAAGCCAGTGTTCTTTCGTGGCGTTCATTCATTTTGAG